ATCACAACGAAAACATGCGGGAGCCAGCCGGGCAGCCTCTCCATTTACACAGCGAGCTACTGAGCGCCATCCAAGTTTATTCTTCCGAGCTAACCCACGAAATCTATCAGTGCTGCGAAAAGACTGTCTAGTTCATGCTGTTCGCGCTTAGTAAATGAATAAAAATGAAACCGTGAAAATAGTTTGATGGACTGTTTTGGCGCTAAAGCATATAGCGGGCTTGTGTTAAAGAGCTTTACCTCAGATGTTATTCGTTCCTCTTGTTTATGCTGTAGATATGACTAACAAAATATACATCAAAATTAAGTTACACATTATACAAAACGAAATTCGTTACAAAAAGATAAATTAAGGAAATATGTTTATATTTATTTAGTTCGTGTCCGCCTTAAACAACTGCAGGTGGATGATGCTTCGCTCCATGGAAAAAAAAAAGGATTTAATTAATGATCCACTGATCCTTTAAATATATAAAGGCTGGTTCTTTTACTGTCGATGAGGGACAATAGTGGTATTACAAATTTCAAAACAAATATCTTAACATTAAAAAGGAAACATAAGCTTGACATCAAAAAATCCTATTATTGTCGTAACAAATAAATGATGCAGCCTGTAGTTTACAGCAAGCATCAAGTGTTCATTGAGATGTGTTTGAGATTGTGTCGTCTGTCATATCTTTCGTCTGTCTTTTCGGGGGTTTTTTTCTCGTAAGGCACGGCTTTCAAAATTGATGACATGAACCTCCGCTGGGTAGCTGCGCTAATTTACCAGCACTTGTTTATGTCTGTAATTTCTTAGCATCTTCATAAGGGTGGTGTTGTTTTAAATGATGAAACAGGCTTGTGGTGTTGACTGCTTTTAATGACATGAGTCGTCTGCTCAGTTTGCGGTGCACGTTGATCTGTTTTGTTTCGGATAGCAAAAAACGAAGTAGCTCATGAAGTCTAGTGACGTTTTTTGTCAACATGATTCTGACCTTTTTACCTTATTTCTTTCTTACTCATTTAAGTGCAACTAACACTGTATGGGTGTAAACTTGTACACCGTGCGGCATCCGGAAGGGCAGGCTGCAAAATGCTTGCGCAACGTTACGCATAGTGCTTAAATATTATCGAGCAATTATCGAACTTATCGAATTATCATTATCGTTTTATTTAAAATTTTTATATCGTGATAATTATCGATATCGAATTATCGCCCAGCCCTATTTAATCGTTAGAAAATCCAAACGCGAGCTTGAAACCTGGCGTACGCAAAATTTTTGAGTGTACGCAGTGTTGAAACATGAGGCCCCAAGTGATTAATTAATTTAGAAATCAAGCAGCTTGCTGTCTTTATAAATGAATCATTGAATAAATTTGTCAAATGATTTATTCAAAACCAGATTCATACAGAAATGAAAAATTGCAGTTTTGTTTAATATCCACAGAGATAAATTCTTCAAAGAATTCTGCTCTTGACTTACTTTTTTTGTAGGCAAAACAGAACAAAAACAACCGTATTGTCTTTAAAATGTAAGTAAATATTAGGTTTTTGTTTATTGAAGACTTTAAATTGAATTGAATTGTGATTGTGCTCATGAAATGATATTAGGAAATCAAGAATATATCTTTCAAACTTAATTTCAATGGGGGGGGGGGGGGGGCACACAGCGAACTAGCATATTCAAATGTTAATTAATATAAAACTATGCAGATGGCACTATGTGGCGTGACAGAAATATGAACAGACTTGCAGCACTGGTATGCGTACCCTGATGGAAATCTATGTTTCGAATTGTAAAATGCATGCCAGTCATGGCACCAAGCTGCACATCTGGTGTACAACCCCCTAAATAGGCTTTACATGCAGTAAATGAGTTTGAACTCTCAAGTGAAATCTCAAGTTCAAATTGTTTTTTTTTTTTGCAATATACTCAATTTAAGATCAATTTACTAAATCGCATGTTGTTAAAATAATTAAAATATATTCTATGTCAATAAATATTGCACACCCCTACTCTGAACACAGTCAAAAATTTTGCCTCATGTGTCAAACCTGTTGCATCCAGTCTATTGATGGTGGACACGGCCTCACTGTTGAACATCCAGAAGTGACCATTGTTACAGGACAGCAAGCAGGGTTTGCATGGGGCCACCACGTGATATCCCACAACATTCCCACTGAATGTGCAGAAAGAGCCAGACAAAAAACACCTGATTCAAATGCTTTGTCAAACACAATAAAACAGAACAACAAATTGCTCAGTTCAAACAAACAATGGACTAAACAATACAGCTAAAACAGCAAAACAACATATTTTGTTTTGTACAGCTTCAAGTCTAAATATGTATAAACCAAATAGTTTTTTATATTGTACTCTGTAAAAAAAATTGCACAAGTCCTTAATGTTGTTTCAACACAAATCGATTAAAGTCAACTTACTTGGTTTTATAAATTTTAGTTGATTGAACATAAAACAATTAAGTTATCCCAGAAAAACCCTCAAGACTTGTTGATTAAGCTCATTATAAATAAATAACTACAACAAGCAACACAAATATTTTTAGTGCGCTAAAGTCTCACCATTCAGAAAACAATTTAAAAATGAATATGATTAAATATGATTTGATGATATGATGATTTTTTTTTGCAGAAACTGATACTTTTAAAAGTAGATATTATAACATTTAAAAAATACTAAATACGGTATTTATATGAAAAAGAAATCTTTGACACTGCATATCACTTAATAGATGACCAGATACAAGTCAGACTAAGTATGCGGATTAAAGACATTTTATACATTTCAATTGCATTGAACTTGCTTTCCACGTATATAACATCAAAATGAGACATTTAATATTTAACCTACATATTGTCTTAATAAACTATTAAAAACCAACCATGAACACTAGTTACCACTAGGAGAAAACAAAAGTTAGTTATAAAGATGTCTTTACCATTTCAAACAAGCAATATCTCTTAATTTGCATTTGCAGCTTTCAGTGGAATAGCAGCTTGCCACAAAATCAACTGTCCTAAGTAGGGAAAAGAAGCACAGTTTTGTTTATAAGCAAAACACTATATTGATCATTAGAAATAATGTTTTGTGAAGATTTCTGTGATGAAGGAAGCCTCACCTATTTGGTGGTATGTCGGTTGAGAATAGCTCTATTTCCGTATCAGCCAAAAGCACTGCTTTCATCCCTCTGGTACACAGCAGACTGTCACAGTATATACAGTTGATTTGCGTCACGCACTTATTCTTGAAATTTGAAGTAGACATTGTAGAAGTGAGCTTTTCTCGGGTACAGCTCCTAGCAAAACGCAGCTCCTGTTGATTTAAAACGACAATAGAGAGTCGATCAGCATCTGAACTGAAGGCTACAGCAGCAGATGTTTGAACAGACGTTCTGCACCTGTCTGGCTAACTAGCTTTAGCCTTGTTTTACCTAAATTGCGTTAGCAATGTTTATAACTAAGAGAAGTAAAATTACAAAAACGAAAACCTTAGAATAATAGCACGAATGAAAATCACAGCAATTCCTGTCTATTTCACTCTTCTGTTATGATCCAGAAAAGCGTTGTCTTTATTGTTATCAGAGCGCTAGCTAGCTAAGTAAAATATAAATGTTTTATAACCAAGCATGCCATAAAATCGTTCTTACCTTTAATGATATCAGATCTTTTTAGATCTAGGCGGCAAATAAACACATTGTACTAAGTTACAGTAAAATTCTCTATCGCTACAACTGGGCTTAGATTGCTAAGCTACGTTTGTTTACGTCCGCGTCGAAGCGGATATGCACTTCCTGAGACATTTTCAAACAGCCTGTTCTCTGACGCTGATTGGTTCCAAATTAGCATGTCTCATGCGTGATTGGCCAGCTCCAATTCCTTTGGTGATTGGTTGAAGTGCTTTTCCGCAAACCACAGAACCGCCTAGGGGAAGTACGACTCATTTCTGAAAATCGGTTCTTTCGAACGACTCGTTTCAAAAAGCGATTCAGTAATTATTATGCTCACACCTGGTTCCTGACATCCCGTTGTGGTATATTATATCTTCAAAGCCAAATGTAGGTACAAATTGGTCTTTATTACGTTTATACCCATATCAAATAATAGTGTTTGGTGTGATACCCTGTGTTGTAATTCAGTTGCAGCAACTAATTTAGCTTATAAAGTGTGTTTTAATCACACATTCATCTTATGATATATTAATAGATAAATTCTTGTACATCTCTTGGTTAAAGAATATTTGCGTGATTCATTAATCATTATGCTTATGTAATAAAGTGATTCACTTAACTGCAACAGTGTAATTCAAAGTGATTGTTCTTCTATAGTTTGTTGTCTAGCCAGCCTGAAACATTGAAATTAATCATGATAACCTACAATTTTCCATGGAAAATTGTTTGCCCCCACATTTGATCACTGCATACCATAACGTTTAAGTCATAAACGTTATATAGACTGAATAACGCGATTATTTGAATAAATCGTTTAGCTCGATGCTGTGCATGAAGAACTGTTTAGAATGTGAACCGACTCAACTGATTCAATTGAAAGATTCGACTCATAAAAAGGATTCTTTCAATCAGACATCGCAAAAATACAACAATGTGAAAAACGACAATTTTATATGCTAATTGTTATTTCTTTAATCATTAACGAAGACATAGATACACTCACATGAAATAAATAAATATAAATATAATAGTCAAAGGAAAGTAAATCACTACTTACAATTACAATGTTTACAATTATTGCTATCACTTAAACTTACTAAATCTATAAACTGTGTTGTGCTTGTGATATGAGACAATATTAATCCCCTCAAAATTGTCTCTTTAATGGTCAGTTTGATAGATTCATGTCGTGTTCAAGTGTTTCAGCCAATGACAATAGAAGGGGGTTGTTCTTTCTCTTCCATGAAAAGAGGCGGGGTTTGAGTTTGGGAAAATTCAGTGAATAGCGTAACAACAAGTCTTGGGGGAGAAATCTGGTATATGAAAGCTGTTTTTAGACATGGAAATCGCATTTTAAGGTAAGTGGATTATCGATTTAATGCAACAGTTTATGATTCGGGCACATAAGGACTCGAGAAAGCTTCGCTATCGTCCGGATGAAATGCAGGGATCTCCTTGAGGAAAGCCCTAAACTATTCCGAGAGTCACCAGGGGCCTCTCTGCTTTTCACATCACGACAAACTCCCTCCTAGTTGCACATTGCCTCTTCCTTTTAAGGACTAATGATTTAAAGTTTTCTCCGATCCTGCAGCTTTTTTGGCTGACAGTATTTAAACGTGCATCACATGATATGAGCAAGTTAAAGTACTCTTTATCATCTTTTAAAGACCTCAGCTATTTTAAACACATTTGTTTTAAGCTGCTATTCTATAATAACAGTGATCTCGTCTTGATAAGTTGATAGGTCAAAGATAATCTTTTTGATTACCTTATAGCCTAAATAAAATCATAAATGGCTGTTTTCCTCCACACTTATGACACTGTTACTACAAAATTTTTGTGTTTTGTGTTTTTGTTGCCATGGTGTTGTGCAAAAAGTGCTGTTATGTGTAAATTTTTTTGGGGAAATGCTACTGTTATGAAAAACAAATGCCAGGAATATATTGCTCATGCAGATGAACAGGAAATATGAGCTTTAAAATGTCTCATTTTGGCAATTAATAATTTAAGGCCTTAAAATGAGAGCAGAAAGTAAATTAATAAATAAGATATTAAATCTTGCATGTATTGCAAACACCATATCTTTCTCAATATTTTTCCAAATACCCTTATCTTAACTTCCCTAACGCATGATACATTTACTTAAGATTCTAAATTAATAAGTACTTTTTTAAAATGATTGATTTAAGCTGATTTAAAAAAAGGCCATGGATGGAATTATATATATTTACCATAAGCTCACTTTATTTGGACTAGTTTTACATAAATCAAAGCTTACATTGTTGTGTCATTTTATTTCATAAGTAATATCTTCTTTAAAAAAAGAATTTAACAGGTATCTCCACCAGAAAACAAGACAAAAGTACAGATAAAGAACACATAGTTTGGAGTGTCATCGGAAGATAGACAAAGTTATTTCCATGTTTTATCTTTTCACAAAGTTATTCAAAAATAAGCAGTTTTTTTAACAAAAGCCTTAGGGTTGCATTTGATTCAAATTATTGATTTATTTGTCTTTACTTGGTCTTTGAATCATTTTGACTCATGAAGTATTCATTCATTAATACTAAGTATAATCATTAAGTATTAAATTCATAAGTCATCTAATAAATCTTGCATGCATTGCAAAATGAATATCTTCCACAATATTTTTCCAAATACACATATCAAATCTTTCCCAACGCATGCATGATACATTTACTTGAGATGCAGAATAAATAAATACTTTTTAAATGATTGATTTAGGCTGATTTATTAAAGACCATGGTAGAAATTATATATATCTATTAAAATGTTATATTAATTATATGCTTAAAATGTTATAATTACCTTCATTAAACCTATTACTCATGCATTATTAAAGGCTTATAAAGTAAACATGTAAGGTCAAGATTTGCATGCGTGAGTTTGCTTTATCATGCACTACTGATGTAAATAAATATGACCATTCATCAGTTATAATATCAGATTTCAAGTTCACACTTTGCATTTAATCATGTTACATTTAATCCCCAAAACATGGTCTGTTTGTAAAGAGGAGCTCCAACCCACCTCTATTTTTCAACAAACGAAACAAAACGAAAATATTTTTGAGGAAGTTTACTGGAAGGAAGTAGTCTTTAGAAATCTGATCCGCTGAACTTTTCTTTGCCCTGTGTGTGCCCAGTGTGATGCTGGGAAATCCTATCCATGCCTTCATTTAGCTCTGAGGAGACTCACTCACACGTCTGACCGCCGGAGGAAAGACTGAAACTTTTGAAGACGCTGCGTCTGGTCGTGGGGATCCAGTGTGAGTGGACGGTGGGATGAAACTCTTCTCTTGCTTCATTCCTCTGCTGTTACGGACATATTACTCTACCTTGGAAGCCATCGGCAGCTCTTGACTAATAATGCGGCGTGATTGATCATCGACAGGAGACAATACCCATCCACTGCTTTCCATTCCCACATATTCGCTGGATATCTGTAGACGAAGTGCGGGCGAAGAGGCTTTTGTTCTGCGGTGTTTCTCGCTGTGACGGGACTTATTGTGTTTAGATCAATATGACGTCTCCTGCTAAATTCCGAAAGGACAAGGAAATTATAGCCGAATATGAAACGCAAGTTAAAGGTAAGTGAAATGTGTCGCTTTATGTTGCATTTTCACTCGGTTCACCTTTGTGTTACGTGGTGGCTAGGTTACAGTGTATTTCTATATGAGCACAGCTGGTGCAAACCCTGTCGTATTACTGCAGAAAACGCTATTTATTTGAGTTTGTGAGAAACAATGCTAGCGCTTCTCCACATGTGGCAACGGAATGATAGATGTGCGATCGGTCAGTCAGTCAGTCAGTCAGTCGCCTAAAGCTATATTGTCTGTAGATACACAACTTAAACCGTTTATAACAACGCTTTTACTTTAAAAATGCATTAATGTGTGATTAATGTTACGTTTGTGCTGTGTTGTACTGTTTTCCCTCATTCAGCTTGTGTAGGTTGTACGTATAGACAAGGCAGGGCGTTTTCTTTTGCCCTGCGTGTCTCTATGAGCTGGTGCGGTGCTGTTCAACCTATTGATTTTTTAAAAGTCAGGTTAGCTGACATTGATGTTTTACAGTAGTTCATGGACTAAGTAACACGTTTAAAATACGTTTTGAGTTTAATCTGACTTAACACAATCGTATTTTGGCAGCACTGACGGCGAGTGAAGTAAAGGTGTGATGCTTGATGACAGTTCGGTTATGACTGTGTAACCTCATATGTTATTCATACTACACTGTGGTAACAGTTAATGTGAGTGTTAGTTTGGAAGCCGTTCACTTGTTTTTAAGTAGTAGCACACTGTGTTTTTTTTACAAAGTAATTGTAACTACTGCACATTTCTTCACTTACACATAATGCATGTAGCCTACGTAACGCGTGTTTTTGTCTCAGGATTTTCGTTCCCATAAACACTTGTCTGGTGAGGTAAAATAAAGCTGCTTTTAATTGAAAGACGAATTGAACGATTCACTTCATTAGTGGAGCTCCCTATCACGTTATACGCGCTGTTGTGTGTGCCTGTTCTTTTGTGTGTTTGCCGGCCACTGGCACTATGAATAGTGCATTTGAGCAGCTCTGCCTGTTGCTGCTGAGTGTGGGGAAAATCTCCTTTAATAAGAGTCAGTGAGTTTCTCATCTTTGAGTTCTGTTCAAGAAGGTCATTGTGACATAAATATTGCTAAACAGAGCATGAGCATGGTTTAGGGTGTCAAAATGTAAGCTTTGCATGGATTGAAATGTGGCTAAAATCAGCTTAGACTAACCTAAGCTGGTCTTCCAGCCTGGTTATAAGGCTGGTTTAGAGTGGTTTGGGCTAATTCCCAGATAACCAGACTGGGAATATCTTAAACCATGAGACAAACAAATCATCTTTGTTTGAAGGTTGTTGTTAGTTTCATCAGTGGCGATATAGATACACATTTGGATTTTTCATTTGTATGTATCGTCATCAATTTAAAATGATGTTTTCCAGGTCAACAGTAATAAAAATTAACCTTTTTAGAGGAAGAGGTCTGTACTCGCTGAAATTCTACTCACCCTCCAGTTGCTGTAAACCTGTTTAAGTTTATTTTTATTTTCAATGCAAAAGAAGATGAAGAATGTTGGAAAAGCAGAAGCTTCACTTTCATATATTCATTATTTATCTTTATTTCAATAGCGCTTTTACAATGTAGATTGTGTCAAAGCAACTTAACGTAGAAGTTCTAGTAAATTGAAAATGTGTCAGTCCAGTTTTCAAAATTAAAGTTCAGTTTAGTTCAGTTCAGTGTGGTTTAAATTTCACTGCTGAAAGTCCAAACACTGCAGAGCAAATCCATTAATGCACAGCTCCACAAGTCCTAAACCAAGCAAGTCAGTGGCGAGAAACAAACTTCACCGATTGGCGAAAGTGAAGAAGAAAAAAAAGCCTAGAGAGAAACCAGGCTTAGTTGGGCACAATCATTTCTCCTCTGGCCAAATGTCTCATGCAGAGCTGTAGTTTAGGCACTAGAGGCTGGAGAATGCTGAAAGTTCATCAAAGAGAAGCTGCAAGTGTGAGTAGGTCACCAACGGGTGTTTAAACTGCCCACTGGATCAATGCAAAGACTTGTCTGTCACTGGGGTCTTTCAGGAATATTTTGTCTTGCTATTGCTGTAAATAGCTTCCACATTCCAACATTTTAAATATATTAAATATATTCTTAAAAATGAAATTTTTGGGAAAGAAAGTTTGGGAGCTGCTTGAGGTTGAGCAAATGAGTAAATTGATCTGACTAAATCAATTTGAGCTAACAGTACACTCAGTCATTGATAAGTCCTACAAAATACTGAATACAAATGCTCAACTAATGGATTTTTAAATAGAGGACCAATGACAAATGGCAAAAAGTAATGGAAATTAATTGGCAAGTGAATGGACACCCAAGTTGTCACACTCTCTTTTTAGGAACTGGCATTTTTAAAAATCTTTGTTACTACATTTACATAATTTTTTATCTGTGTTTAGCAGATGATGGCATTTTAAAGAGAATGAATAATGCTTTAACTTGCATCATCATCTCTCATGCAAAGAGAGACTTTTGTTTCAGTTTATAAAATAAATATGAATCTATAAACCTGATATTAATTTTGCAGTATTGTTTTTCCTCCGATTTCTCTCTGGATCCTGTGTCACATCACTTTCTCTTGCCAGTTTTAACCCCCAGCCTCCCCCTCATGTGGATCCTTATTACTTTGCCATGCCTTAAGAATGCTTGTAGATCATTTCGCTCAATATTCTTGAGTTGACAGGAACTGGAAAGAAACAATAATAAGCATGATTTCTTCTCCCTGGAATAACGGTTGAAAAATGGCCTAGATTTGGAAAGCATCACTGATTTGGATAAATAATCTGTCATGAATTAGTGGCAGAAGGAAGCGGTAATTGCTTGGTGATCCATTTCTGCAGAGGCAACCAGACATGAGGAGAAAAGTCTGAAATTGGAGAAGTCACAGAGAGAGACATCAAAGCTGCATACACTTCTAAGTGGATTATCATTAATTAACATCAGCTCGATGCGAAACATACAGTTTTCCATCGAAATCATGTTCGTATGTTCCCAATGCCCTGAAGTTGGTACTGCTATCTTAAGCTGTTTAATCCAGTAAAACATCTCCCGCAAACAAAATCTAGAAACATCTGACTCTAATCTACAAATCTCAATACCATTGCATCTCCATTTTATAAGAAGGAATCATAATTGAAATAAACTCATAGACCCATTGACGGCTCAGAGACTCTCGTAGTCGAATAAGCTGAAAGACACTGAAAAATGGGCTTGATTTTTTTCTAAGGGCTGGCAGGAAATGTACAGCTGCATTTTTCACCACAGCTGGTTGGAAGGATTGGATAATGTAGCTATAATCCCTCAGACATGGGGAGTGAGTCTGTCAAGCAACTGAAAAGTGACTATGCATATAAGAGCTGTGGGAAACAGCATGATTGACTGCTCTAATTGTCATCTGCATAAAAAAAAAACATCCTATAAGATTCGTTGCCCTCTCATTATGTTTTGTGCCTGATGTATTCATTTTTTATGTTTTATTTTACTTTTTTGAATAATGTACATTGCAAAAACAGTACAAAGAAAAGCAAATTGTAAAACAAATAGGGATTATTTGTGCCTGATGTATTTTTAATCACACAAATAAGGGCTGCACGATATTGGAAATAAAATCGGCATTGCAATATTTAGTTTTTCAGTGATAAACTGTCAGGAAGAAACCACAGATTCAATATGCAGGTGAAGATTTATTTTAACTTCAAAAATCAAAAATGCCTCAGACAGAGGATCAAAAATATAAAAGAAAAAGCACTGAATAAAAAGGGTAATTCAGGCAGCAGTAACTAGTACTGGACTGTAGTTCAATTGAATGTCCACAAGGTGGCGGACTCGTGGAGGTGGTGAGTATCCAGGCTTAGTGGGCGGAGCAGCCGGAAGACGAGCAGCTGCAGGTGGCCGGATGTCGGCAGGCGATGGAGTCCGAGCGCCCCAAGCAATGACACCGAAGATAGCCTGACAGGGCAGAAGAGAGATGAGCAGAGAGGGCGAACGAAAACCGAAACTAATCTCTATGGAGCCAGATAGATAACGTTACACAAGACAAGACAGGATAAACGCGGGTCTAGAGCGAGTGAACTCGCGAAACACACAAGACGGTCTGACAAAGACAAGGAGGCAAGCGGGAATTAAATAGAGGAGAAGATCAAGGAGCTACAGGTGACAATAATTGTTTAATAAGTGAATAACAAGGAGGTGGGGAAAAGGAAACACTGACGGAAGAGCACATGGCGAACTGTCAAAACAAAGAGCATGTGCTCCGTGACGAAACATGAAGGCGACACGCAAGAAAACAAAATCACAAACAGGTAGGTCTAACACACTCCTCACATTACCCCCCCCCCCAGAAGCGCCTCACGGCGCCTCTAGAGGGGGCTCACCTCGTCGCCGACGAAATTCCCCGATCAGCGACTGGTCCAGAATATCCCGAGCCGGAATCCAAGACCTCTCCTCCGCACCATAGCCCTCCCAGTCCACCAGATACTGAAAGCCCCGGCCCCGGCGTCTCACATCAAGAAGCCTCCTCACCGTATAGACCGGAACGCCATCTACTAGACGAGGAGGAGGAGGGGCCGGGGAATGACCAATAGGATTAAGTTGGGACCGGAACACAGGCTTGACCCTGGATACATGAAAAACAGGGTGAACCCGACCAAGAGTGCACGGAAGCTTGAGCTGTACTGTCACCGGACTCAAGACCTTAGTGATCTGATATGGCCCTATGAACCTGGGTGCCAGCTTGCGAGAAGGCACCCGGAGAGGTAGGTCCTTAGTAGATAGCCAAACCTTTTGACCACAAACAAAAGGCGGAGCAGTGGTCCGGTGACGGTCAGCCGCCGCTTTGGTCCGTCTGGAAGCCTGGGCCAAGGCCTCCTTAGCCCTCTTCCAGGTGCGGCGACACCGACGAACGAAGGCAAAGGCAGACGGGACCGCGGCATCGGGCTCCTGAGCAGGGAATAAAGGGGGTTGATAACCAACAGAGCAATGGAAAGGGGACATACCTGTTGAA